GCCGCCGTCGGCCAGCTGTGCGTGTGCTTTAGGGGAAGCCGGAGGAGGAGGGGGATCGGGTCACGGTGGGCCCTAGCGCTGGGGTGATCAAAAGATTACGTGGAATGCGTTAGGCTGCATAAACTTGCCTTCATCTCTGGGGTTTACCCCTGCCTTCCCCGACCTTGTGCTTTCCGCGGTGTGTTACAGCGTGTATCCCAGCACGTGACCTCATTGATTCATGTACGAAGTAATTTGTGAGCCTCCAATTCTAAAGGTGCGGCTGTAAAGTATATTTGCTAAGGGTTATGTTTGTCTGTAGTAATCTGTTAGGGAAATTACCTGACATATTTGTTGTCCTTTTGAAAAATAAAGTTTTGTATTGTTAGTTTTTATAAAAGGTGTAATTATAAGGTAGGCAGAAGTACAGATAATGTCAGATTGTTTTTCAAGCAAGGCTGGAATTAAGTATTCTCCACTTGCTGAAGTAGTTGGCACAGCTGGTAAACTGTTAAAGCATCTGATGTTTAGCATCTAATGTTCTTTGATGTAAAAGTATAAAAGGATGCTGGATTATGTGTGTCGTGAGAGGTAACATTCTTAATCTTCTTACCATGTTTTCAGAGATACTGTCCAAGTGCTTACATAAGGATATCTTACTCAATTCGAAGTCTGGGCAGTCTGCTGTAACTTTTTCTTGCTTTTTTTTTTAAACAGCCAAAGTGTCGGGTGGTCTATGGATGAATAAGGAGTGAAAGCAGGAAGCAGTTGTCACAACTCGCCTGTCAAAATCAATTTACTAGGTAAGTAACAGTCCTGGGTACTGAGGGCTCCATATTGGGAGAAGTTTTCTTTAATGGTAAAAGCATTTCTGCAAATGTTTAGCCTTTTCATGTTTACATAGCAGTTCTCAGCCTGGAAGATGCAAGGGTAGTCTAATGCTGCTACACATACGCAGGTTTGAAGGTAGCCATATGCTCTGAGCAGTGTGATATACAAAAGCTTTGCAGCATTTTGAGTGCGGGGCATATTTTATACCTGAAAAGTCAACACAGACTTTTGGGAGTGGGAGGGGGGGCAAGTGCTGTTGGCTTTCTGTGTCAGGGTAGATCAACTTAAATGTCATCCTGTAATCTTGAAAGACTTTCATGTATTTATTGTTTACTGAGCCCTAAGCACAGCAGGGATGATGAAACAAAACTTACAATGCCAGATGTCTCCATTTTTTGGAGAAGAAACATAGAAAGGAATTATAAGCCCTTAAAATAGATGGGAAATACAACTGCAGTGGATTCATGTTTGATTATTGACAAAATGCTTAATTGTGGGTAGCTAAGGAGCTGTCTTTTGAAGAAAAATGTAAAGATGGTGAAGATAATCATATTTTACTTATCCTTCGAAGTTTAAATGCTGAAACTGTTGTTTTGGAAATTATTATTTTGATTATAGGGAGTTAGGGTAATCCAGGTATGTTTGCACTGGTTTTCTCATTCAGTAAATAATTTAGATTAGGGGTGGGAGGAATGAAATTTGGCATCTCTTGAGGTCTTTTTTTTTTTGCTTACAGCTCTCTTTGAAAGCAGCAAATCACTAGGCTACCTCTAATTTCAGAATGCATTCAATTAACTTTGTTTTTATTTTAAATCTTAGTTTTTAAACTCAGTTGTTTGAGAGGTAACATCCAGTTGCAGATTATGGCTCATCGATTTTCCAAAGAAGAATTAGATGAGCAGTTTGAAGAGTTTCTAAAAGAGGTATGTTTCAGAGCAAGGTCGCATCCCATTTCTGTATTAAAGTGCAGGGGGAAAATTGGGTATGGAAGAGTATGAAATGGAGGATGCAGCTGTACTTTCACATAATTCACATAGCTGTCTTATGTGTGGGTCTGCAAGGTCTGAACCTCATTGGTAAACTTAATTCATACTGTTTTGCTGTATGGAAATCAAGAGAACAGTTTTGTGATGTGGTAAACATTTTGTCACTGCTAGGTTGAGTCACTGCTAGAAAGAGCCCTTGCTTCCTGACTTTTGTTTCAATTTAATTCTGTATGTTATTAGTAGCAGGAGCTCCAAATTAATATATAGTTGAAAATGAGATTAAAAGTTTTCCTGTATGTAGGCACAAGCTACGTTTTAAGAATTTCCTTATTTTTTTGTTTAATACCTTATTTCACTGGTTTCTATTTTAAAATTCTTGTATTAATCCTAACAAAATGAAGTATGTTGTAGTGATTAGAAAACTTTAATTTGATTCCTTTTGTTCCTCGTGCTGCTTGGTGGTTTTGAGGACAGGCAAAATCATGCACCTCTGTGGTTTATGACTTGAGCTACCAATTATCAGACGTGGTCAAAAGGCACTAACCTGGTACAGTTTTTTTTCACTGCATATAGACCTGTAATTTCAGAATTTGCCCTTTGGTCTATCAGACACGCAGTATGGTAACCCTAAGATATAAATAGCACATACGTAAGGCCTTTACTAGATTTTGTTGCTTTATATAAGTGTAGCTAATGATGGAAGAGAATATTCTTGAGGTCTCTGTTACATGTAAAGTATGCTTGAAGGGGTTTTTTATGTAGAGGCTATGCTACAATTTAATTACTTGTGAAAAATGTAGGTGCTAGATTCTATAAAGATTGCACTTTGTGCTGTGTGGAAAAGATTTGTAGTAACGAGAGGCTTCTTTTTCAAGAAGATTTTAGCTTTCCCGGGTAGATCTGTAACTCTGCCTTGACTGTGCAGCTTGTGAGGTGTTTTTACAGATACAGAAGAATGTAACTTCTCTGAGCCATACTAAATTGAGAGTATAGAAAACCAAAATGCCATCTGAAAATTGTGATTAACAAATAACTTAAAGGTATATTTTGGCCTTTGATTTGGCGATGTAATTGAGTATAATTCTTGAGTTCACTGAAATTATTAATGTTAGTAAAAATAGAAAATTAAGCTCTGCATTTCAGTCAAAAGTTCTTTACTTACTCTTGTTAAGAAAGGAGTTGCTCTGGGGAAGAGAAGGGAGGTTTATTCTTTTATTTATTTTGCACATCTGTCAAAACTCTGTATATGGTTGCTTCTAGGATGTTGTTCCTCATTTGATGTTCTCTTCTTGCTCCTCAGCTATTGCCTACGTTGAGAACGCTCAAGTTAGAAAAAAATCAGAGTAGTTGCATTGAATTATTCCAAGTGGTATTTGGCGTGTTCCAGAGATGTTTTAACAACTCATATCCTAATTGTTTTTTATTGTTTCAAACTAAAATTGTTTGTAAATTGTTTAAGCTTTCTTAAACACATATACTGCCAATCCAGCCATTAAAAATACGTGTTGTTTTATGTTTTGGCAGCTAGGTGTGGACCCAAATATCAATGACGTTATTTAGTCTCTGTTACTTTATATGCATGCACCTTCTGTTATGTTCCTCCCTTTGCTTTTCTTTTTTTTTCTAAAACGTGTGCAGCCTTCTAATGTTAGAAAGATGAGAAACTGGTGTGCTCCATTGTTTGAAATCCCTGTGTAGGTGATGTTTGTGTTGAGAGTATAAGTTTTTGGGGGGCAGAATAGCAAAACAGCAAAACCTGTTTCTTATTTGAGGAAGACTTAATATTGTTTAAGAAAATCTTTCAGAGAAGAAATGGAGCAGGGTGGTTTTTCTCTTTTAAAAAATCATAGTGAAGCTGCCTTAGTTTGGGCAGGTGTATGTGTGTTTGTGATTAAAACATAAAGTTAAAAGGCCGTATATACAGTTGGATGATGCAGGTGTAATATGAGGATTAAAATGAAGTCTTTTGGCATATGCACTGAACTTTAAGAACTATCAGTGAAGAGGATTTTCTAGGCTTTTTCGTTATACAGAAGGAAACACAAATGTGTAGTACAATTACTGCATGTAGTGTCTTAATGATTCCTCTGCCTGGACATGCTTGTTCCCAACCCCTTGCCAGAACAGCCCATTGTCATCCATGATTCTTCTCTTCCTCCTCCATTGTCTGTGTGCTTGTCATCCTTACACTCCCCACCACTAATATCTTGCTTTAGGTGCTTCCCCTGTTGTCACTTTAATTTCCCTTAAGCAGCATCTGTCATATGGTATAGCTTCTAGGTTTTCAGAGCGTTGGCTGTGTTGGCTGTGGAGCTCCCTTGGGACATCTAACATGAGGAGCTCTTTCTAATACACAGTGCTTCGGTTAATTGCTTTTTTTCATGACACTTCAGGCAAAGTTATGACAAAGCCATTGTCTGTTTCTAGTCTTCTAGGTTGACTTTTGTTCTGCTTGATATTTATGGACAGCTGAGAAGGAAGACTTTCAGAAGGAAAGGCTATACCATCTTTATTAGAAAAGCTGTAGAATAGTACCTGGAAGAGTAACACCTTAAACCACATTTGAAAAACATTTTTAATTTTTATTAAAAGATCAAATATATTAAAATATTATTTTGTACTAAAAATATAATTTGAAGTAGTCTTCAAGACTTGTTTCATGAAATAATTAAGGCAACTGGTTATGAAAGTCTGAGTGTGTTATAAAGATCCAGTTCTGTATTACCTATCTACTTTCTTAAGTTCCTTCATGTGTATAAGAGCTAGTAAGCTGATTACGTGCCATGTAGTTTTCCCAGTTCTTAAACTTGACTCTTTTGGCTTTTATTTAAGTTGAGATTAAACAACTGACACAACTGACACTTTTTTTTTTTTTTTTTGGTGTGTGCATGTGTTCCTCAAAGGCTGACAGGCTGTTTTATAGAGGAGGGGAAGGAAGAACTCAGTGGCACTTGCTGGCACTGAAAAGCCATTAGTAGTCCAAAAAGTTTGTTTATTTATTTACCTTTTTTTCCAAAAATAAAATATACATAAGTTTTGCTGTTGAGACAACTGACATGTTGGGGAAAAATGCACCAGTATTTTTGTGTCAGCATTTCTTTCCCAGCTGCTGCAACTTTACTGTCTGCAGTTGACAAGATGGCTGGACGTAGAAAGTTTCCAGATCTTGAGAACAACCTGTGGGAGTTTCAGTTTCTTTAGTTACAATACTCTAAGGAGTACGAGCATCATTGAAGTCCTGCTTGCAGAGTAGGGGATACTGTCAGTCGTAAAGGAAACTGCAAGCGATAACAGAGCCTGCGTCAAGCACCCGTCGGTGCTCCTCGCTAGCAGGAGGCAGTCCAGCCTTTGGGGATAATGGCACTAGTACTTGCATTGTGACTAGCGTAAGGACGTTGTTATTTATAGGACATTTATTAAGAATGTAAAGTCATTTTGTTCTATGTTACTGAGCCAACTTAAAGAAATTGCAATACATCCTGCTGTCTAGCCGTTTCATAATTTATTAGAACTGTGTTTTATTAAAGTGCAAGACTCAGAGCACTGAAATTGTCTTTCTGAGACTGTACGACAGGCATTTATTTTTCTTAAGTGTGTCTGTAAGCTCTAAAGATGTTATTGGTCAGAAATATTCACAGGAATATTATTTTCTTATAATTATTTTTATCTTAAATGGTAGTTTTGGATAAATGGCATTTGATTTATGGATATTCTTGTTAGGCCAATATAAATTGAAACATTAGCTATGCCGTAAAGGTAGGCTTTTACGATAGTGCTTTTTATGTGATAGGAGTCAGGCAGTGGACTGCAGAGGCTTGTTTTAATACAAATCCACACATCCTCTTGTGTTTTACATAGTAAGTACCCACAAGCCCTGTTGCCTGTAGTATTCTGTTTATGATACCACATTTTCTTACTTGTGACTATTACAAAAGTGAAGCTTTTTGAATTTTCCCGTATGATGCATTTCATACACAAATTCTTTGGTTCTTACACTTTACAGCTGTTGCTAAGTCTATCCACTGTGTTCTTAAGACATTTTAGGATAATTGGTTTCAACAATTATGGCTAAAAAATTAAATAAAAATAAAAAGTGTGTCACTCCCCTTAACCCCATGTTTACTGAGTTTAAGCACAAAGACTATGTAGCCCATAAGGTTGCAGTGCACTTGCTTAATGAATATATTTCCTTGTTCAGTGTCTGGACAGCTAATTGTGGCACTGAGTCTGCTGTAGGCCACAAAGAGCTTAATTAAAGGAAAAGAGCAGAGATTAGGGTGGTTTGTTTGTTTTTTGAAAAAGCTGCATCACTTCAAGTGCTGTTGTCTTATGAAGTGTCTGTAGGTCTTCTCCTTCCTGTTCCTTTTCAGTAACGTAAAACAATGGAGAAAAGAAGTCTATGAGTATGAACATCCTATGAATTTAAGCCAAAACCAGCTTTAGTTTAAGTCAAAATCAGCATGGATGACTAACACATACGGAAGTTTAATACACAGAGCTGGGTAGGAATGGCTCTGGCATTTCTATTAATTTCCATGAACGCAAAGTATAATATTAATTTCTGAATTCTGCTTTACTGGGAGTTAGAAGGTTGCTTGTGAAGGTTTGTTTTTAGAATATTAGTAATGTTGCTTATGCACCAAGCAAGGCCAAGGCAAAATTATTTCTGCTCTACTTCATTATCTTCAGGGATGTAGTGAGGATTTTGGTTCCTATATGTTGTAACTAATGGAAAGAGAGCTGATTATGCTGTTTATTTGAACATGTACTCTACTAAGCAGTTAACTTTTAACATACCCAAATTGTGGCAGTGGGATTATTGTGATATGCAGTATTGTGCCACATTAATACAACTATTGTTTCTTGCTGAACTTTGCCATGCGTATACAGAAAACGGAAGACAGTGAGGAGTGAAGAGAGGCATCTGAACTCAGAATTCCAGAACTGGGTGGCTGGAAGACAGTTAAACAACGTGAAAATGTAAAAGCCATCTTTAATCTTGTGTGCAATTGACTCAGTCTCTTTCAGATGATTCACTTGGAAATTCAAAGAAAAAATCCAGCATTCTTGAGACGTTGGGACAGCCCAGGAAAAAAGAAACAAAGAAAAAGGATTCGGTGCCGTGGTGGATATCGGAGGAAGATTCAGATGATGGTGGTAAATAATGTAGTTTTGCATTTTTTGGCCACAGGGGGTCAGGCTAGTTCTTTCTTATACTTCATACAGGCCTGGTTTCAGATTAAATTGATGCCACTCAAGTGCTTTACAACATTACAGTGCAAGTTTGTAAAGTATAAAACTCAAATGTAATTGTATTTTTTAAAAGAGGTAGTATTCAAGCTGTAAACAAGCTTTTTACTCTCTTCCCCCCCCCCCTGCAGCTTTCAAGTTATTAAAATTTGTAAAGGTTAAACGTGTTATAAATAATGAGATAATTAGAAAATTGAATTTATGAATTCTGCTGAAATATTTGTAGGTATGTTTTGTAACCAACCGTTTCTGTATACGGTCTTTTTATAGATTTCTATAGATTTTTTAGTTTTCAAAACTGGAGACAAAAAAGACCAGTTTGTATAATCTTATGCTAATTGCAACATTTTTAATAGGTTGGGGAAGCACAGAAAAACTTTTCAACAGCAGCTCATTCAAGGATGTATGTCTGTCAATATTCTACACATTTCCATTGACAAGCACCATGGCTCAAGGGGAAAACAGCTGTGATGACATGATTGCTAGTTCAGTATTGACTTGGTCACATAGTTCTGGAAGAAAATATGTTATTGTTTGCAAGCTTTTCCATTTCTTCATTGTTTTCTTATTGGGTGGTAAAGCCTATGAGTGAGTTAGTTTCTACAGGGTGATTGCCTCTTGTTCTTGTAGTAATTGATGGCTTCTTATTTTCATGATTTGTGTAACTTAGAACTGGAGCTTAACAGAAAATTCCAGAAATCAGTTTTTCACATGACAGAGTTAAGATACTGCTGGTAGTCTCTGATTTTAATGATACTTCTGTCCTCTCAGGGTTGTTGTAGTTAGGAGTCAAATCTTAGGGTTATGCCTAAATGGCACAACTGCTGACTAACAGGTGTTGTCTGGACTGCTTATCTGTCTCTGGTCTTTTAAGATGTTGCTGGAAAACTCAGATGGATTTGAGTAGTATGAGATATCATGATTTCCTTGCAGCCTTTCAAAAAATGGAATGATAGAGTCTTTTTGCTGGGCAAAGTATGAGACTTAAGCAGTTAGCATGACCTCATTTTTGTACATGCTATCCAAGAAAATTTTCAGGTGACTTCATAAGTTCAGCATTCTTCCATGTTTTTTCTGAGATGCTTGAAGCGACCTATAAAGCACTTTGATGCTTCTCATGTTAGTTAAACCAGAAACCACTGGAATAGGTACTCTAAAGGCCAGGTGAATACAAGTTTTAGAGAACAGTGGTTGTATGGGTCAAGTACAATGCACAGCAGAATCAGAAGAAGCAGTGTGATTATATCAAGTTGTTCCCATCCAAACCAATTCCACCACTTTTGGTTTTTAAATTAAGAATATCTTATCAGCTGTGTAGTTTAACTAGACATAAAGCTATGAGATCTGAAACATGCTTGGTCTGCAGTTTATTGATGTATAAAATAAAAAGAGAGTTCTGGTAAATTTTTTTAAGAAAAAGCTGCTTCTTTAACAGGAAAACATTCAGAAGGTGAACCTACCCGGTTTTGCCAGTACAGAATCCGTTTACTTGCAAAAGAAGCTAGCCTGTTCATATTCATACCCTTGATGAGGGGCTGGATTATTTTGGAGGGAGTTGAAGGTAATCTGTTTAATGCTTTTGGAATCAAGGGTCCAACCTGTTTTGGCAGGTGGACATAATAAAACTGGGAATACAAGAACGTGGAGCAAATATGCTACATCTGTGTACTGAATTATTCCCTGAGTACCATTTTTGCCAGTCAGATTATTAGTTTTATTTCATCTACATCTGTCACCACTCTCTGCATAGAACTCTGTGCTTGTGGGACATAAGCAGTACGCCATATCTTACCTGGTACTTTAATATTGCCAAGCAGAGAGGCCTTTAGGTTTTACTAGAGAGCTTTCCAGGTTCTATCTTGGCAGGAAGTGGATAGCTCTGTGGTATGAAGCGGAGCTCCTGGTTGTATCATCCCATGAGGAAAGTGCTATATTTGTCATGCTGGATATTCACAAATGGTAGCAGTTGTATTCACATGTACTGTGATGGATTAGGAATGGCGTAGCACAGGAGCAATCTGTACTGTGGTGATTGCTGGTCTGTTAGCTGAGTCAAAAGAGAGCCATTTGCAGAGGCCAACTTGGCTGCCTTCAGTATAAACTGAGCTTTCCTCTGCAGTTGGAAATATAGATAACTTTTATGTGGCTATAACGAAGAATGATGGAATCCCACACAAAAGGGGGATTTGTACATGTGTATACACACTACAAACTATGCCATGATCATGTAGATATACTTGCAGTGTTTTAAAATGACATGTCAGGTGACTGTAGGGAATTCAGTGTGGACAGGCTACTAGAACTGCTCCTTTTTTCCCCTATGTATCTCTGTTTGTCTTGCATGCTTCCAAGTTCTTTGTCAAATACAGTTTTGCCAGATGTAATATTTTTCAGCAGATGTATATTGTGTAGTATGTTGTTCGGATGTATTAATAATGGATGGAGGCACAGCAGCATTGCAATGTAAGTTACTGCACAGGATGACTGAGGAGATGATGATTTTAGATTTGTAGCTTTTTGTAAGGTAAATGTGCCCTACATAGAAAAATAATTGTCCTGCAGGGGAAAAAAAAAAAAATTTCTGTGATGACAACAACTGTGGGAATAAGCTGAATTTCATTTCTGACAAGTGTAATGTTGGCGTGCTTTGAAATTTTGTGGAGGTCCTTGTGTATTCTTCTAGGCTTGAACCTCCACGTTGGTTGCAGATAGGACTTTGACAGGCTGTCGGCTAATAGAATTACTAAAGTGTTTTGTCATTCTGGTTCAAACTTATGTAAATGTATAAATCTCACCTCCACCCACAGTGCGGCACTCTATTACAAATACATGCTCCATATGTATGAGTGGATGTGTTTGGGTGGCACTGTATAAAGATACTATTATATTAACGAAGTACAGAGTCTGGCTAATTAGCTGGACAAGTGCACCAAGCTGGTAAGTTGTTTCCAGTTTGAGGTTTTCATTTGGAGTGACTTCGGTATCTATATCATGCTTTCTTGAAAGACACAAAGATGACTGGAAGACTAAAGACGTGATATACGTTTATTGATTGTTTTTTCCAAGGCATCTTGTTACAGCAGTGCCAGGAAATATGTAGGGATTTAAACTAATATCTTGTTTTCACTTGGTTTTCTAGATGAATGGTAAACAGCGTAGGCTATTTCTATTAATTTGGCTGAGAAATATAAAGTACATTTTAAATAGCTCATTATTCTAGGCACATTTGAACTCTGTTGTTCAGCTTTAAACTGAAATGTGCAAATTATGATTCAAGGTACTGTTTTCCATATTTGACAGGTTAAAGACATACCTCTAACTAATGTCCTTTTTACTTGCCTTTGTCATTTAAATGATGAAAAGAAATTGGATAATAAGGATTCCTGTCCTGACTTGCTTGCCTGTGTTCTTGCTGTTTGTCTTACTTTTCAAGATTTTCAAACAAGATTTGTTAAACTGAGAAAAGAGAAGAAACTGATGGAAAGCCATGCTGAAATAGTGGAAAAAAGAGATCAAAAGAGTCCCCATTCAGATTCCCAGTCTGGTATTTGATTAAATATGTTTTGTTATATTTATTCAATATCAACTATGTAATACTAGTGCGTTTCCTATAGAAAATCCTTTGCAAATCGTCCATTTGACCATAGTGTTCTCACTGAAAGCAAGCTGCCACTTACTTCATTTGTCATCTCCAGAAGAAACTAATAACTGTGTGAACTTTTGCTCAATTGTCATTACATCGTGCATCACTGCCTATAGTATGTAGTAGGACAGACAGTATTGAATGCAAGCCGGTGGGGAGGGGGGGTGGATGACTTTGAAAATCTACACAAAAATCAGTATGTTTAGTACACAGAAAATCTGTTACACTTTCTGTATTTCATGCTCAAGAAATATAAATGTTCACTGTTCTGCGTGTTTAATTTCACAGACTGCAGTCAGATAAGTATTCTACTTATTTTCTGTTTATGTGGTTCTTTTCCCTCTGCTGACCAGTAGGCTGCTCTGTGCATGCTGGTCTTTGAATGGAAACAGTGGAGTTGGTGGAATAATGACAAACTAAATTGTTTAATCTGCAGGATTAAATGTAACTTCAGATTCAGCCTTTTGTGTGAAGTGACTTTTTATGCTATCTGAAGAAAAATTCCAGAGAAACTCTGCAAAGAGTTTTAAACATTGATCCATTAAATACTTTTGTGTAAATGACAATATCAGTTAACTTGAATATATTAGTTTAAACATGGCTTTGGTGTTAAATTCAAGCAGATCAGTAATGCTTTGGAGAACCATGACAAAGAAATATTTGGCACTTGGTCTTTTAGATCATGTTGATGATCTACTATGTAGCCTATAGAACATTTCCCTGTGTTAGCTTTCTAGAGTGTGTGTGCTGCCCTGTTTTCATAAGCCTCACTTACATAGAATAGCTATAAAGCATCTCAGTCTGGAAGATGAGCAATGAAACTGAATCTTATTTTTTGAATTAGGCTTAATATTTGAAATATGAGCAATAGGAGGACTTTGGTAGTTATTTCAAATTACTGTTTTAAAAGGCCTCAGGTGTTTGCATTATTTACAACAGAAGGCATGCTGTCAACACTTAGTTTCGTAGTAAATGTAGGAGAATATAAATCTAGAGAAGTGATGCCTCACTAGTGGACTTGGACATCAGTTGAGGGAATAAAGGACCCATGCATTGTATCAGAATGGATTTCATACCGTATCTTTCTTTGCCTTTTTATGGCACCTGCCATATGCTCACCAGCTTCCTATAGTCATCTTGGATGTTTCTGAGTTGTGTTAGCTTCTGGTCACATATCCCCATATTTCTGTTTCTAGATAGCAGAAGTATTTGGCCTGATCCCATAGAGTACTCTTGCTATCTCTTGTGTCAAGGTAGATTCAAAAGACCTGTAACTAAGAGTTTTCTCTGAATTAGCCAATTCAGAAGCCCCCTCCACCCTGACAATTTGAGCAAGAAGTCTAATACAGTCCATCTGGCTAGCCTAAGGTATATAAAGTGTGCAGTGTGCCTGTCATCTAAGTATCATGAGAGAGCACAGTTTCAGCATAGGTACTGTGATCTAAACTAAATTCTACTAATGTAAATGGAAGGCATTTTTTTGTATTTGCTGCTAAGCAGGTTCTCTCAAGGATCTGAGCAAACAACATGCACTTCTTGTACCTGACAGTGATAGACAGTAGTAATTCACATTTAGGGACCTAGGTTCTTCCACTTTTCTTTAACTGATCTAGATGCTTTCTTTCAAAACTTGTAATGCAAAACTTATTTTATTGTTGAAGTAATTTTACTAGTTTTCTGTGTTTTCAGGTAATACTGAGCTCCTAGAACAATGTATTTGAATGCAAGGTGTATGTGGTGCAAGAAGGAATTTGTCTTTTTTAAAAATAGAGGGGAAAAAAAAGTTTTATTCTCAGAAGTTATAGCTAGAAAATTATTATAGATGATTCAATCTACAAGAAATTGAACTGCATTACATTTTCAGAAGTGTCAATTTGAATTCTCACATCTTATTTTTCTCTTTATTCCCTCTCCATTATGTATAAAAACTTACGAATGTTTGTGTACACTTAAAAGTAGTTCCCCCTAAACCTTCTTCCAGTGCATCTCACAGCAAGGCTTTGTCTAAATTCAAAATGCTGGAAAAATTTCATAAGGACAAGAAAGATTCATACTTAAACAAAGAAGAAGGAAGCCTCACTTCTGACAGTCCATACAATTCCGAGGGTAACAAAGTTACTGTATTTTATATGATATTAAAAAGGTAAAATGGCTCAAGTCTGACAGTACTGGTCAGATGAAGGATAAAAGAAATTACTTTTTAAATAGGTGTTTGTCATTGTCAATTTGAGTCCTTTGTATTTATGTTTTTAAACTTTTCTCTGTAAGTGTGGTGGTTAGAAATATTTTTCTAAGTGAAACTCAGGTTCTTATTTTAATTAATTTCAAGTGACAAGACTTTAAAAAAGAATACTGTATGTAATTAGCCTTACAAAATATTGCATGTGAAGATATGGATAGTGAAATCTTTCGAGTTCAAGGAAACTGCTGCTTCAAGAAGTTTTTATGAAAAGTAACAAATATCCACCCCCACCCACCAAAAAGTATCACTCTTACAAGCCCCACAGAAACCAGTAGGACTGTTCAAACAGCCAAAAAACACAGTGAAAAGAGACTGTGGAGATGTACGCACCTCCTGCAGTCTCCTGCCAGCAGGAAATGAGCTGTTGTCAGTGTCTTCACCCCTCCTGGTATGTTCAGAACAAGGACACAGGCACAGTATAAACCTCATTTGGCCAGACAGAACAGAAAATTCTGAGTTTGTTTTACCAACTGGAGATTCATGTTGGAAAAGACAGACATGGTTTTTGTTCCTTTCTGTGAGAACTGTTAAATCATTTCATAGTCATTGGATAAAATGTATAAGCAGCTTTTCTCCTAGCCTTCCTCCTAAGAGAACCTCTAAAGAATCTAAGTGTAAATGCGTGTGGTTTAGGGGCAGGCAGAAGGGACTTTGTACTGGTTTTTAACCAGTAATGCACTGCAATATTTGGCTTTTAGTTTTCCGAAAGGAAGTAGATAAGGCAGCATTCTGTCTGGAGGCAGAATTCACTCACAGCAATGAAATTACAGTAAGGACAACTGCATGTTGTAGTTGCATAAACATACAGAATGGAAGTACTGGGTGTTCATCAGTGACCTTTAAGTAACTTCGGTTATTATTTTTTTTCCTTAAAGCATTTAATTTGCAACAAATGAAATGTAGCTCCTAAGCCAAAGGCTACAATTTTCAAAAATCTGTGGTACTTTCTATGGGGTAATAAATCAAACAAAATGAACAGGCTTTTAACAAAGAAATGTTAATTTCTGTATAGAGTTTGTCTGTGTGATGGTCTTCAATGAATAATGTTACAGTAAGTCAATTTTTACAGTTGCCCGATGCTGAACTTTAGGTTTGTGTGCAAATATGAAGGCTAGGAAGAAAATATAATAGCCTAATTAAACAAGATTTACGTATCATAATAGAAATAGAAGTTAGGTGAATATGATTTGTGAGACTGATTATCTCTGCAGTTGCAACATGAGATTAAGACTAGTGGTTCTGGAAGGTGACTAAAAGACATACAAATAGCTTTTAGATGATAGTCAAGAATATTGCAACTTTTTTTCCTAGGAATGATTGGAGCTAATGGAAGCTTTGTCAAGATACAGAACGCTTCACAGCCTGTGGGAGAAAGTTATGAGAACATGCATGTGGAAAAGATGCAGCTTCAGAAAAGTAATGGGGTTGCTGTCTCCTTAAGTAGAGACAGCCTGGAGACAAATGGTGAGAACTGAGAGCACAACTATTTCATGAAGTTAGCTAGATCTAAATAAATTACTATTACAAACAGTTTACCTTAATTCATTGCAAGTTGAGATTCTTCACTTCTGCCAGCTGCATCTCATGAACTGAAGGCTCCTATTATGAGTTTGTGATGATCTAATACTATTAATATTTTATGAGTCTGACTGTAGTTGTTAAATGTTAGGACTATTCTGTGTGGACATACAGCACAGACTCAGTTTGTTCTTTGTTTTCAAATTTAGATTCAGTTTTAGCTTCTGGGCCTAATCAAAGTATCGTGGGAGTTGGATTGGATACCTTGGAAGAACAAGAAGAAAAAGAGACCTTCTTTGCCAAACTTGAACGAGAAGCTTCCTCTACTGTCGATTATTCCAGATTAAATAAAGAGCTGGATTCCAATGAGTCTGTCATACTAGCACCATTTGTACGGTAATTTAGAGGGAAGAAATGTTGTGGACTGTATTAGTGGGCACATATGACTTAGGTATGGCCGCTGAGATTTTGTGGGACAATATCCTGTATGCTTTCGGTCAGTTTTTTGTTTGTTGTGGTTTGGGCTTTTTTTTTTTTTTTTTTTTGAAGACAAGGACAGAAATGAGCTTAATAAATAAAAGAAAGGAGTAAGGCGAGAGCATGACTTGGTGATGAGTGGACATAGCTACACAGTCTTGTGCATAACTCCATGGTAACAAGTCAGTTTAACAGTCTGAACAGCAAGATGTAACTAAATGAAGAGTTAACAACTGATAATAACAAGGAAGTAGATCAAGAAAGATTCTGTGTCCCCTTAGACATGATGTTACAAATGAATCTAAAGGAAAGGCAGAAAATCCTCACACACTAGGGCAGTCCATTTATAATCGATTATGTGAAAATAAGTTCAAACGTGAGAGAAATGGATGAAGGGGCAATTCAGGCTGCTGTTGCTAAAAATGGGGAGTGCAAAGGAAACTTCCAATATGAAAACATTTGGAGAGTCAGAATTCTTGAGGGTTTTAGGTAAGGGCAAAACTTTATAGCGAAAGGGGAAAGAAAGGAGAGATGTTGGGGGTTTTTTTTGTTGCTAATGCAGAATGTTAGAAGGTCAGAATGGGAAGCTAACCTGATGATAAACTTTTCTTCGAGAAGCTAATGTAGATGTTGGAGGGAGTGCAGAAAGGGTGTGATTTTAAGAGTTAGACTGAGAATTTTAACTATGGACAGCTGTAAAAACTTGAGTATTTATTTTAATAATAGCTGACATTTATCTGCCTTTCTTACCTATGATTTGATATAATGGAAACATTCAGGTTTTTAATGTTATTGCTGGTTGTAGGAGTATCAAAGTTTGGAGTTAGGAAAAAAGTATATTTGCTGTCCAAAAAGAAATTAAAATTTTCATTTTGTTTCTCAGAAATGAAAAAACTGAAAAAGTAGAGGAAGAATCTGCACACGAAGAGAAATCTGGTAATATCATCTTTCTAAATCGTTCATTTGAAAATTCTTACCTTTTTTACTCTTTGTTTTGTTTTTTTTTAATTGCTATGTACACTAAGAATTCTGAGAACCTCATTAAACAGAGTAACAGAAATGAAAGCTGTGGATTAGTGCTCCAGTTCAAATGCAAAGTCTTCAGAAAACATTACAGCAGGGTGTCAGAGGATAGTGTAGGATCTTCATGTTTGTAGTGGGATGTAATTTAAAGGTCTGGAAAGAGGAAACTGTACTACAGTCTCGTAGCTTATTCTATATTCTGTGTTGCCTTTGGAGCCAGTCCGACAGCTTGACTTCTTAGGTTTCAGATTCACAAGATGATTCAGCGTCCTCACTGAACTTCTTTGTTCTGAGTAATATGTAAACCAATTGACTTCTATTCCCATGTCACCCTGACCAATGTGGGTAAAGCTTTTATTTATCTGAAAGCTAATGTAATTTTTGTATTAATGATTTTCATTTTTCTGTAGTTCTTACATCAGCCTTTTAGGCTGCCTTTGCATTATGACTGTGCAGCTGTTACTCAGAGGTTTTAGGGATTTACTTTTGATTTTCTGCTTTTTTTAAAGTGGATTTTTAATCTATTGTGACCTAAAAGACAAACAGAAAAGAAAGTTAAAAAAAACCAAACCCAACTATAAATCAAAAAATGGAGAAAAAATGACACTGATGTTGCAATATGTCTTAATGTTTGAGTTACTCCAATGTCTTAACTGTCATCTGTATTTTTGTACCATCTTTTTATGCTTGAGTTTAATCTCTGTAATCTGCAGTATTACTCTACCTGATTTTTTTTTCCCAAATTTCCATGCTACACTCCTTCCATCTTGTTTATTGGTCTTTTACTTGTTGTCTCTCTCTATTTCACTCTTCATTGCTAGCGTATGATAGAGTGTATTCCTGTAATTTAATCAACAGGTTGTATTTTCAAATTTATATATTTAGCTGAACTTTTGAGAGGTCCTGTTGTCAGGCTTGAATTTCCCAGACACAAAGAGGCTGTATTTGTAAACCTTAATCACAGGAAATCTTTTCTCCTTGAAAGCTTGATTGCTCTGTACACTGCAACAGATCATGATAGTTGTAGCAGAAATGCTACAACAATTTCATAGCCTTTTCCCTAACAAAATGGTTGAAATTACCTGATTATTATGGTCAGTTTTATGAAATTGACAGTTCTGATTTTTAGGAAAACTGTTTCTGTGGAACACATGGACTCACGAATCTGTGTGTTGTGCATGATTTGGTTGGTTTAGTCTTTGTCGAACTGCTATTTCATGAAATAGCAAATGAAATAGTGGATAACACATGTGCAGGAATAGTATAAGCACTGTGTGTGTCTTAAGTCAGTATGAGAAAGCTATTTTCAGCTGATCACACTTCTCATGGTCCAAAACCAAAGGGAAAGCTGAAGTAGTGACTTTTCATAGAGTAGTTTTTACACACGAATTAGACTGGTCAGTTGTATTGGTGACAAAAGAGCAAATTATAAACCAGATTATAAATGCTTCTAGATTTAAGCATTACAGATAATGCAGACACTGAAGCGTGTAACCACAGGAGCTGAGTGGAGGAGATGGGGCAACAGGGAATCGGAACTTGTGGAAGGATGTAGGTAACTGAAGGAAGAGCATTTGGTTTGCTTGTAAAATTCATTCTCTAACACACTTGTGCTTTTAAATAATGCTTACTCTTGACAGTGGCTGTTGGGCCACCAAAGCAGGTCAGAGGAAGCAGAATTACAGAGTCTGAGCCTAAAAACTGCTGGAGTTGTCAAGGTGGATGACCAGAGTACTTTGGCTGTTGGGGGAGGGAAATTGCATCATTCCACCTCTAAGTGAGAGAAAGTGATTGAATGAAAGGGTTCAATTCAAGTTTGCCTTGAGGAGATAGAGGTAAAGTATATCTGTTCATAAGAAAAACTTCATTTGAATTTAGAGATAATGTGTGACTTTTACTGTAGTTTTAGTACTACACCCAGTCCTGAAACCTTTCTGTTGCCTCTGTGAAAGGAGTAATAGTGGCTGTAGCTGTTCTTAGATGAGAAACTGAGGAAAAGGAAATAGCTTTCTTTTACTGCTTTATCTTCCTTGAATATTCAGAATAATGCTTTATCTTCCTTGTGTTCAGCTCTGGGACCCCCAACATAAGAAGGACATGGACCTGTTAGAGCGAGTCCAGAGGAGGGCCACAAAGATGATCAGGGGCTGGAGCACCTCTCCTGTGAAGACAGGCTGAGAGAGTTGGGGTTGTTCAGCCTGGAGAAGAGAAGGCTCCGGGGAGACCTTATAGCAGCCTTCCAGTACTTAAAGGGCACCTACAGGAAAGGTGGGGAGGGTCTTTTTAGAAAAGCATGTAGTGATAGAATGAGGAGTAATGGCTTTAAACTGAAAGAAGGTAGATTTAGGTGAGATATTGGGAAATTCTTCACTGCAAGGGTGGTGAGACACTAGCACAGGTTGCCCAGAGACTCTGTGGCTGCCCCCTACCTGAAGTGTTCAAGGCCAGGTTGGGTGGGGCTTTGATCAGCCTGGTCTAGTGGAAGGTGTCCCTGCCCATGGCAGGGGGGTTGGAACTAGATGGTCTTTAAGGTCCCTTCCAATCCAAACCATTCTGTGGTTCATTCTAGTTGATGTTTATTTTACTCTTCAGGCAGCTACAGTGAAGATTTTGAAGAAGACACAGATGCTAATCCTGCCTTTAAAACTGAGGGAAGTCAGGTGAATCAGAACATCATGTCAGGAGATGATTTACGTCCTCAAGAACAGGTATAACTTAACAAATGTTTGTATTATTTGCATGAATCATGAAAGCTCTGCAATGTACAACTGTAAATGTAGTAAACCTTTATAGAATGTGTACTGTCTGAAAGAAAAGAATATAGTGGTCCTGGGACTATATTGTTCTATTAAGGGTGTACACTTTCCTGTGATAGATCACCGAAAGGATTAAGTTCTTCACAGGGTTTTCTGCTCGCTTCTCCTTTGAATTAAGTACTGTGGATGAGAGGGCACAAATGAGAGCTCTGGTTGGAGCCTAAGCATCAGAATGGTTAGTGATTAATCTCCCTCTTGAAGCTGTTAACGTGGTGTCTACATCAGCAAGTGACACAGACTGAGGGAAGTAGTTGTGTGCAGAGAAGCAGTTTGGACAGAGGACCCAAAATCTACACTGTATGACCTTTAGGGGTATTACTGTTAAGTAGCTTAGTCAGGTCTTTTGATGTGTGGAGCACATATGGCTGGAGCACATCAGGTGCATTCCTGGAGCACGCGTTCCGATTTTTTTTATTTTTTTTTTTTTTTTTACAAAAGGAGTCTATAGAGCACCACATATTCATCTATAGTAGATAAATGAGGGGTTTTAATTCTTTTTAAGTAAGTATATTAGTAGTATTTCTAATAAACGTTTGAAAAGAAAAATAGAATGGAAGTGTAATGTAGTTAGTACTACATTATTTATTTATCTCAAGTTACAATATAAGAGAACCAAGAAGGTGCAAAAATATTATTCCATTTATGCATAGTAGCATTTAGTTCCCAGTCACTTGTGAGAGTGTTTATAGAGTACACGATGTTGAGGATCTCAAGAATATGAGAAGTGGATATTCTTGGAGCACAAAGAACTGCTTAGTTCTAAGTTCTAAGAATGGGTCTTAGGTTTTGGACCAACTTTTAAAGTTCATCCAGATTTATTTTTTCCTCTGAAATTCAAAAAGTAACTTTTTTTTTTTTCTTTATTTTTGTTAGGAAGAAGCAAATGCTGGCATGCTGGCTAAAGGTAAAATATAAACTTTGATCAGTAGAATAGTAAATGTAACTTTTTGAAACTTTCTTACCTGATTTTAACTATTTTGATATTTTTCACCTGATTTTATTGTGTTCTACTGAAAGTCTGTTAGACTGAAATGGTTAAAATTAGTCTACATGTTAGCACTTAAGAGTGATCATCGATGTAATTTTTTATTTTACTACATCTAGTCAGTACTCAGATTTTGATGCTTGCGATCAGAGTTAATCAGTTTACCATTAATGGCATTAGAATAATCTATATATCATTTTTTCTATGTTTAGGACACTAAGATAACTTTGGTATACTTCTAATTCCAGTGTAGACAAGAGTATAAATAAGAGAATTGTGTTTTCTTTAACATGTATCTTCTTGGGTTTAGTTGTATTACTTGATTCACAAGATTCAACTACAGAGCTTCAAAAGGCCGTTGCAACATCAGACATAGCTCTAGGTGAACATTATCTGCCTGAAGAAGTCAGTGGAATTGAAATGAATGAAGCAGGTAAGGGTTGCTTTATAAACAAACAAAAAAACCCCCCACGCAACAAAACCCAAACCCCAAAATCTCACTTTAGTAGAATAGGTGGCTCTGATGACTTCATTTGTTCTTAGGCTATCAGTGAACGTGAAGCCCTAGGCTTCTAGTAACAGATCTTGAAAGGAGGAGGAAATATTTCATGCAAAAGTCATTTCTGCTAAGAAGACACCTTTTTACAGTTAATTATTGTAAAGTTGCTTTTGACATTGCAGGTTGATTTTAAATACCACCTCCCTTGGCTATTCATCATAGATAAAATTTATCTTTGACAGCTTTGAACACAATTATAAAATACATTCTCTTCTCAGACTTTGTACAACAGTGTGTGGCACTTATATGCAGAGTATGGCTCTGATGGCACCTGTTAAAATAGTTATATCACATTCGCTGTTTAGTTTTAGTGCTGATAAAGTACTGAGGTGGGAGAAGGGGGGTGGAGAGGCATGCGAACTGTAGATGACTGTTTAAGTATGTACTAGTTAACTTGGCAGCTGTTTATTTTTATAGTAAAAATGGTATTTTATAATCTTTTTTTCATAACTGAAATCACTGTTCTCACCATGTGACAGACCAAGCTAGTAACTGAAACAGAGGCTTCAGTGGGATGTTTTCCAAAACAGAGCATCCTGTGGTGTCTCTTATGAGCCTGCATTTTTCACAGGCACTTCCTATGGACAAACCACCGCTGACATCAAAGCGTTACACCAAGCATACCATCATATTGATCAGTCTTTGGGAGACATTGATGAACAAAAACTGCACAATTCTGCAATGGCAGTCTCAGAATGCTTAGTGCAAGGTGTTTCACAAAATAATGACATCGGTTTAAAAAACATGTCAACTATTGAATCAGGTAAGTACCTCAAAGGAAGGCATGTACTGTACAAGCATGTGAAATTGGAGAAATAGTAATATCTTTCATACTCCATTTATGAAATGGAGTATGAAATTTTTAAATGTTGTCACTTTTACACATATTTTTTCTAGAGTTTTTTTTTTTTTGCATTAATTAGATTTACCTACTGTGGAAGAATTGATGAAACCAATTAAAGAACATTCATGTAATATCAGAAGTTTTGATGTGGAGCCTGAAAGGTATTTATTTCAGAATGCATTTTAAGAATTGTAGTAACTTAACACCATTAACTGTTCATTAAAAACAGCTTACTAAATAACTCATCTGTCTTTGTCCCTATTAAGTACTGAAATTCCATTGTGTCCTGCACTGGTATTACGGCACTTGCAGTGAATTGTAAAATGAGTATACAGGTTTAATTGGTTTAGACAGGGGATTCCCAAAATTTATTTGAATGATAACCAGCAACTTTTGCCAAATTATTTGGAAGTGTTCCTCAGTCTCACAGCTACCACAGCTAGGATCTCTGCTTCCCCAGTCTTCTGCACTTTACTCTCCCCCGTACATGGATTACAGTCTGCATCCTATCCTAGCTCTCCAACTTCCATAATCTAAGATCAAATCCTCTTCTTCTTCTTGCTCTCGTGATTCTTACTAACCTGTGCGCCATACCTCCTTCTGGTTTGCTCCAACTTCTGTGTCTAGAGCAGAAAGCACAGGTCCTGGAACTCTCAGAAATAGGTTATGCTTAGCAAATGAGTTTTGGGAGCTTATTGCGTAGCTGCACCCAGCGGAAATTACCATTCATTGCTTTATTAGCATTAATTGCATGCTTGCAGGTGTTCATATGGTAGCCAAGTTCCGTACCTGCACAAAAACAGTCACTGCTGGGAAATCGCTCTTGTTACACAGCGTGGGAGTGAATCTCTATGACTAAATCTGCAAGCTTGTTCTTTAAAGAAGCCTAGTGGCTCTTTCAAATTAGAGCAGTCTTTACAGTTGATACCTAAAGGAAAAATGGCCCGCTTTTTCCAGAGTGATAGAAAAGCAATGGGCAAAAGTCGTCTTATTATATATGACTTTATTCCTTTCTGTTGTAGTCCTGTGAAACTGGTAGGCAGCACAGCAAATGACCTCGTCAGCCACTTGTCCTTTAAAGAGCACCAGAATAATATAGTTTGGGAGACAAACTTATTTGAAAAAATTAACAGAGAAGAGAGCATCATTCTGCAGACAGCTGTAAATGATGATAACTTTCAGAGAGTGTCTGAGAGAGAAATTCAGACCAGTGAAGTACAGCCTGATGTACTAAAAGAAGAAATAGTACAAGACTCTCTGCTTTCACAAGACAGCAAAACTAAACAAGTAAGTAGTATCAACCAGATTTTTATTATATGGAGATGCATTTAAAATGTGTATATTTTTAGGCTGCCTGTCATTTGATTATGCTCTGACAAAATATTTGCACTACGTATACTTCTGAAGCAGTAAAATTCTGCAAAATGACATACTGTTCATTTGATTAAAATTAATGCTTCCCGCCACCCCACGTCTTCCAACTGTGTAATTCTGGTAACTGGTTCTATGTTCTTCTAGTAGTGAAAGCCACCTTCAGATAGAACCTAAAACTTGTTTTGAACAAATGTGCTCTATCACAGGCTCTTCGGTCTTGTTCCATGAAGAATGAACGATCAGAGTCAATGTCAACTAAACCAACGTTATACAAGAATATCAGAAGTTCAGCACCTTTACATAAAAAGAAATCTTCATACAGTCCTCAAGGGGTGGTTAGAAGTTCTGGGTATGGGAAACCTACTTCATTCTCAAAGCAGCCCTTTCCAGCTAATGAAAAGAAAGCAGCAAGAGAAACTTTCAAGAAGACCAGTGTGAAAGCCAAAAGTCCTGCAGGTAGAGCAAGATCTAAAGGTAATTCTATTGTAAGAAGTCTGAGTTTTAAGAGCCAGAGAGCTTTGCTGTTCATGCTTCACATTAATTAAATAAAAAAAGAAAATAACATTTCAAAATGTCTTAGAAGAACTCTAAACCCAAACACAATTAAGTATTGATTATTTTTTTTCCTGTGTCAGCATGGAGTTGCTGGAAGAGACTTTTAAATAAAGCTTTGCACTGTAGTCTTGTTTCATTTCCACTTGCGTCTACCACCACTATGTTTGAGACTTACCTATTGTTCACCAGTAGGACCAAAACAATAGAAAAAGATGGTGTTCAAAAATAAGTATCTACAAGTTACATTTTTCATTACACTAAATGCAAAGATTTGCTGACACACTAACTTCTGTGTGTGATGCTGAATTTCTGTTCTCAGCTGGTTTTTATCTTTGCTTTCTTAGTGTACAAAGAAAGCACTAAAAAGAAAGTCCTGTTTCCTGTTCATGTCTCTTGTAACACCAAGGAAAGGAGAATACCCGTGTAGTTCTGTGAAAGCTGAGTTGCAAGTAAAGAACTGAACTTTCTCATTTTTGGGTGAAGTCTGAAGAGTTTCATGAGATAATTCAGCTTAGCATATTTGCAGACAGTGTTTGCTATCCCTGAGGCATGGGAAAATAACTTTACAGGTGCCCAGCTTTTATCACACTTCCAGCATGTAATGCTTTTAAAACCCTGCAAGTAGTGTTGGGAAAAGCAGTTTAGGATTATGTTGTCCATCTTGGGGAGATGCTTAACGGGCAGTTGTCAAACTAAGGGACCTTAGTTCCTCAGTGCATTGCTGTGGCGCACCCTGGAGAAGAGGAAGTGTACAGCCAGGTGGAGGTGATGAAGAGTCCCAAGAAAATGAGGCAACTAGCCTCATTCAAACGTGTTCTTCCCTTTCTAGCTATAACCATTCCCCGTTAACAGTTTCAAGTGACTTCAGCAGTTAATCTCACTGGGATGCATTCTGCAGGGTCCTCTATAGCTAGGAAGAGAATGGCATTGAATCAAATAATCCCCTAATCATCAGTGCTAAGGGAGTACCTTTGTGAGGGCATAGTGTAAGAAATGTAGAAAGTATTAATTTGGAAAGTGATCATTGCCTGTTTGTTTTCAGATATAACATCCCTAAGCAGGAGCTCTGAGATTAAATTGCTATAGGCAGAAATGAAATGCAGTTGTAGTTACAATCTGTATTTCAGAACACTGAGGTGTGAATAGTTCCATGTATGTTAGTTACGCTCTAGGGCAATCTTCCCTGATTTTTAATTTCCAGTCAAGTTGCTATTTGAGGCAACAAATAGATGATGCATTTCTTTGTATGCTGTCTGCACCTCAAAGTCCGTTTGGAAAATTGCTGTATCTTATCTTCACTGTAGCTTGAAATAGGTTGTACTTCTGTATACTTCGATAACTGCCTGCTTCCTGAGCAGAGAACTGAGGTTAACCTTGTTTCATGAAGGACTTACTATCCAGCTACTTGTTTCAGTTGTTCCCTTGGGTTTTGCTTTATCTTGTCATCAGTTCCTTACTTAAAAAAAAAAAAAGGACCATGTTTCCCATAATGTCTCATTGCTCTCAAATTTCTATAGTTAATTCAAAGTTCAGGTGGTAGAATACTTAATTTATATGCCCAAGTGGTGGATCACGTGAATAGAGTTTTCTGAAATGACATAAAATTCTGAATTTAATTTTATTCTATTTTACTTTCCGCCTAGATGAAGAAGCCTTATTTGCTACTAGGATAATAAGATCGGCAACAAATGAACCAGCTTCAAAGGGAGATGTTAATAGAGTTATGTCTGGCCAATCAGTTGTTAATAATCTTGGACACCAGGCTGTGGATTATTGCCAGCAATATCAGCATGTAAGTAATAATGAGTTGATGCTCCTAGTTATAGCATAGTTATACAACTTGGTTTGCAAGCCTATTTTGTAAAGACTTCTAATAGTTATCACAAGTTGAGCAAATGCTGAAATATTGAATAAAGACATCCCTTTAGTCAAATACCTTTTTTTTGTTTTAAAATATGCAAGTATAATTGTAGGACTTTTAGGTGTCTTGGATAATTCCATTACTTGGGTGGTTCTATATGCTTAATGATTGAATGCTTATTAATTTCTAAAAATTATCATTTTATGGTAGAAAAGGGGAAAATCTTAAATAAAACTTCTATGTAAAAGTATTCTGTTATGAATGTTAAATAGTACTCCTGTATGGAGGTTTTCTTCTATTTGCATTGCATTGAATATTTAATAATATCTTCTGACTTCTCCAAGATGATTGAATTTGCAGTAACATGATGGATTTTCCTTCTTCCTTCTAAGCTGTATCAAAAAATTATTCATTGAATACTTAAATCATTACTACTTTTTGAAAAGTAAGATGCATAATAGAATAATTCTGGTAGCCTTGTAGTGGCTCTCATGAGAGGTGTTTGTTTCTTGTTGGTTTCTTTTGGCTTGTTTTCCTCATACATATTTCAGAAATGAGAAAGTAGTTCATTAAAGTGAATGCAAGAGGTTTTGCTGTTAGAATGTTGGTTTGTTTGTTGTTTTTTTTTTTCAAGTGTCTTGTGTGGTTGCTGAGAGCCAGACAAGCCAGTTAAATAGAATGGATAACTCTTTTTGGTAAACAGTCAGCTCAGTATAATGTTTCCCTGAATTTTTCTCTTCACTAGGATTTATCATTTTCTCCTATCAAAAGTTGTGATAGAGAATTATATTTGCTAAAACGAGTTCAAGTTGCAGAGGAGGACCTGAAAGCAGCTCGTGATTTGATTCAACAGCTAACGAGCACTGTTTCACAAAAAGAGAAAGAAATAGAGACAAAGATAGTAGAGTTGAAAACACAGCATGAAAAAGAGCTTTCTCGGTTGGGTCAGGAAAACTATGTTCTTCAGAGTAAGGTACTTCATTATCTTGTGTCCCATTACTATAGAACAAGAGAAACATTGCTTCTGAAAATTAATGTTATTTTACATGAATTGCTAATGAGCAGAAAATCCAAATTTGCACACACTCTGCTAGTTTGTAAATGCATACCTGCTATTAACATTTCTTGCTCGTAAGACGTGATTTTTATTTTTTTTTTCTACAGAGTTAAACTATATTATCCCAAGTGAGAGTTCTGCAGCAGGTGTTTTGCAAATATTTAACTAACTCTTATAAAAAAAATGACTAAGACATTAACAGACACCACTTGTTGTAGATAAGTACTATATGTTGAGATAAGTACTCTATGTTGAGATATTGTTATTTTTTTGGATGCATTTTTCAATGCTGTGTTTTGTCGATATGGCATATTCCCAGGGTTACTCCACTATTGCTTCCTGTCTAGATACATAAGAAAAGAAGAGGAAGGGTAAAATCTGTTAACTTCTCCCAAACTTTATATACTCTGTTTCTGTTTTGTAATGCTTCTCTAAAACGCCAATAATATTTGCTCACTGGTCTCCTTTCATATCTTAATGAAAAGATTGACCTATTTATATTATAAAAGGGTAGTCTTGTAGAGAATTCCATATTGCTAACAAAACTTTATTATTAATTACATGTCTTTTTCTTTCTGAAAGTTAAGAAGTATGGAAGAGCTGACTCAAGAAAAAAGGTGGACCCATCATACAGGAACAAATCCTGTCAGTGAAGAAAAACTGGCAAAAATACAAAAAGAAATTGGAGATCAGGAGGTCATTATTCAAGGTTATCAACAGGTATACTACACAGAGTATTGAGCTGTGTTCTAACCAGTTTCAGAAACAAAATAGTTTAATGGTTAGTACTTTTCTGTTGAAAACAGTTATCTTGCTATCTAAAAAGCAGATGAAATTTAGGTGTGAAGAACAAACCTATTGTACATTTTAAAAGTATTTCACGCATGTTTAGTTTGGGCTAAGTTTCTTCACGAGTCCATGTGGCTGTTCTAAGTTGTAAAAATATGTTGACTTGTCAGTTGAGAATGGCAAAAATACTTTATACCCAATAAGGAACCACTAACTTCTTGCCCCAAATGTAGTACAAACCAAGTACTTCTAATAATTTTTACAGTATTAGAAATCTAGAGGTTTTTGGTTTTAAGATGTTTTTCCACAGGATTTGAGCAGCTGAGCAGGGAACCTTATAGTGTGCCTGACTTTTTTTTAAGTCAAGTGTAGAAATACGTAACGCAAGCTTAATAATCCTTTTGAATACTTGAGCTGTAAAATCAAATAGGTTAGTTTAACAGGCTTCCAGCTGGTGCTCAGCAGCATTTCTTGGTATAGGCAGAATGCCTTGCCAGTTTGGCTCTGAGCATCCCAAACTGGTGACGGATTGTGTCCACAGGATTGGAGCACGGGCAGGCTGAGCTCTGAGCTATCAGCAGCCATCCATGTATGTATATTTAGAATGTAGTTGGGCAAGATTCGCAGAGGACCTGGCCTAGGTTCTCCAGAGTGAGCAGACACTTGGACAAGATTGTAGAGGTCACTGTATACTACTTGAGCATAAAGATAATGAAAGTAGATACCCATTTTAGAAACTTAGTAATACAATATTTAGTGTTTCAGTAGGCAAACTATTCAAGTCATAGACAATTGCTTTTGAACTGGATAAAACAGTAATTTATGAATATTGTTTAACTTTGTCTGTCTCATCTTAGGAAAATGAGAGGTTATACAAACAAGTGAAAGAGCTACAGATCCAAAACAAAAAAAATGTGGAACAAATGTTTAAGGAGAATCAGTGTTTAATGTCTGAATTAATAGGTGTAAGGTAGGCTTATTTAAACACCCAACCTAAAATCTCTGGAATTTTCAGCTGTGTGTATTATTTTTATTTATGAAGAATCACTGTGGAGTCTCAGATGCATGTTTTCCAGTGTTTCTTGGGTTTGTGGTTTGTTTTTTCTTTTGAGAATGGATTTATGTTGATCATGGGCACTTAATTCTTGGTCGTGTTGCTGATCTTGCAGACCTGTGGGAAGACTAGTGTCTTCCATTTGGGGACTATTTCAGTGTTAAAATTCAAATCTTTTTATTCATATCAGAGTGCAATATATATGCTACACTTGTTCTGGTATTATGGCTTTGCTCATGTGTCAAAATGTTTTGATATTGCTGTAAGATACACAGTAGATCAGGCGCCACAAGAGATCCTGGTAGTGGAGGAACCATTAGATTCATTGCACTGTAGGTCCTATAAGATTTGCCTCCTATGCTAGCAACGAGGGGAAAACCTAGCAATTGTGTGTACTCCTAATTTACAAATCTTTGCCATAGATGAGTTCCACTGAGGCAGAGTAGGTTTGTTTCCCTCCCTCGTGTAGTCCCAACAAACAGGTTTCTGCAAGATGAGTAGATTTCACCTTACAGGTTGAACATTTTGGTATAAAGAAGTACTGCATAGTTGCTTCTTTCTTTGTTTTAACCCTGCACAGATTGACTTTGTAGTGCCATTGTAGGGGGTGTTTGGTTTTTTTAGGATGCCACTGTTAATACGCCAAGTCACTGCATTGCATAAATGTTTTTGCTGTTACTGTTTAGAGAAAAGATGGAGAAGGCTAACAATATCCAGTCACGGATCATGCAGGATTCTGAATCAGCCAGAAATCAGACTTTCACAGAATTGATTTCAGAGCTTCGAGCAGCACAGGTAGGTCTATGCCAAGCCTGCTTTTCATGTGTTCTTACAAAAAATGCATAATCATCCATATTGTAGACTAATAATGTAAATGAAGAAAGTATCATAGAATGCCAGGTTGGAAGGGACCTCAAGGATCATCTAGTCCAACCTTTCAAGGTAAAAATATGGTTTAAGTGATATGGCCCAGCACCCTGTCAAGCTGAGTCTTAAAACTGTCCAGTGTAGGGGAATCCATGACTTCCCTTGGGAGATTATTGCAATGTCCAATTGTCCTCATGGTGAAAAAGTTTCTTCTGGAGTCCAGTCAGAATCTCCCCAGGAGTGACTTGTATCCATTACCCCTTGTCTTTCCATGTGACTCCTCATAAGAAGGGAGTCTCCATCTTCTTGGTGGCCACCCTTTATGTACTGGTACATGGTAACAGGGTCTCCCCTAAGCCTTCTGGTCTCAAGTCTGAACAAACCCAGTTTTCTCAGCCTTTCTTCATATGGTAGGTCTTCCAGTCCTCTGATCATCTTCGTGGCCATTCTATGGACCCTTTCCAGCTCGTCCACATCTTTTTTGTGTAGCGGGGACCAAAACTGAGCGCAGTACTCAAGGTGTGGTCTGACTAGCACTGAGTAGAGTGGGACAATGACTTCTTTATCTCTGCTGGTGATGTCCTTGTTAATGCAACCCAGCATCCTGTTGGCTTCCTTTGCTGCTGCGGCACACTGTTCACTCATGCTGAGCTTGTCGTCCACCAAGACCCCCAGGTCTCTTTCCACAAGGCTGCTCTCCAAGTGGTTCCCAGTCTGAGCTGCATTCCTGGGTTGTGTATTCCCAGGTGCAAGACCTTACACTTGTCCTCGTTGAACTTCATAAGGTTCCTGCTAGGCCACTCCTCCAGCCTGTCCAGGTCTTCCTGGAGGGTGGCTCTCCTTTCTGGAGTATCAACTACCCCACTCATTTTGCTGTCATCTGCAAAATTCATCAGGGTGCAAGAGCAACATCCAAATCACTTACGAAGATATTAAACATCACTGGGCCCAATACTGATACCTGGGGGGCCCCACTTGTGACTGGTTGTGGGTTTGAGAATGAACTATTTACTACGTACCCTCTGGGTACGGCCTGTCAGCCAGTTCCCCATCCACTGCACCGACCACTTGTCTAGGTCGTAACGTGTCAGTTTTTCAAGGAGGAGGCAGCGGGGGACCGTGTCAAAAGCCTTGGAGAAGTCCAGGTAGACAATGTCCAGCACTCGGCCCTGCATCAGCCAAGTGGGTTACTTTATCATAGAAAGTGTTCGGGTTTGTTAAGCACGATTTGCCCTTGGTGAATCAGTGTTGGCTTTTCCAAAACACATGCTTCAGTTTACTTGTAGTAGTGGAGCATGCTATTATTTGCCACACTTGTGTATCACAAATATCTCAGATGAACACCCAGAAGAAGTCCTGTAAGACACAGATTCATTGAAAGAAGTGCAGTGTTGCCATGTTTACTGGTAGTTCTGAAATATCTTATGAGAACTTGCAGAAAGTAGTGATACCTCTATAGCTTTCCCGCATAAGACAAATCCAGAAGAGTGTCTATCCCTGCTCTGTACCAAGTAAGTTCTAGAGAACATCAGAGTGAAAAGAATCGTTTGTTATTCACTCATGTAACTTTTTTTGGTAGTCCTACAGATGCTTGTGGTTTGAGGGAAGATGTTTAGTAAGCTTCATGTTTAAAAATAAAGGTTTTCAGGAACTTCTGTTGTTCTGTTTACTGCAAGTGGGGACTGTTGTGGTACATACTTCCTGTGATAGTTAGACCAGAAATTAAAAGCTGCTTTGGTGTGTCCCCCTCTTTTTTTTAATTACCACTCTGCCCACCCCACCCCCGAAAAAAAAAAAAGAAAACCAGACAAACAAACAAACAAAAAAATCAAAAACCAACCATCCAAACACCCTGGTTAGTTGATAAGAGGTTCTGAATCTAGTGAGCTTCAGGACTAGCAGATGCATTCCTGGTCTGACAGAGCTGACTCTGAGCTCTTAAGGCTCCGGGGGCTCACCTAGTTTCAACCTCATAGGTGCTGCTGCTATGTATCGCTGTCCTTAGGTCCATCCTTTCATGAGCCTGAACACAAGATCCAAAGATGGAGAGACACACAGAGACAACACTAAAATGGTCAGGCACACAGATAACACAGAGAGCAGTGCCTTCGCTCACACCACAGAAATCCAAAGACTGCTCTTTGAAACACAGGGAGCGTGTATGGACTGATCCTGTTCAGCAGATCAGCATAGGAGTTCGCTAGCAGTAACAAATACATGCACGTGCTGGCCATTGCTGGCCTTAGACACTTGGTCTATTTGCTGCCTGGCCCCAAAATCTCAGCCCCCACAGTTGCTGCTCCCTGTACCTATGGATCCCTAGGACCAAAGGCCTCCGTCACCAGAGACTGGCACTGAGACCTTTCGTCCTGTTTTAGTCTTGAAGTTTGCTAGTGATGACACGTAAACAAACAGAACAGAGAATGCATGCAGAAAATGGTGAGAAATAGAATGTAATAAGATGAACTGCTGGAAAATATATGTGTCCATTTAAGCTACAGTCTTAAGTCTCAGAAATAAGTACAGCCATTTTCTTTACTGACTCTCTCAAAAGGTAGATGTTTTCTACTTCTAAGACAATTATGTAAGACATAATTTTTTTTGTTAATAATTTTTAAATGTTTAGCTTATGTTTTCCCATGCTCTGCTATAGCAAGGCGTGAGAATAATACCAAAGCTAGAAAACCTCATTGCTGCTGTGGTCTGACACAACTGTTGTAATTTGATCATTTTATGGTGAAAAAGCATGTTCAGGTTTTTTGTATGACAATGTACATTTAGTTTTTCTTGTCTTACTGTTTTCTCTGAAACTCAGAAGGAAGAAAGTAAATTACAAGAAGAGATAAGACGTCTCAAACAAGATAAGCAAGCTCTTGAGGTAGACTTGGGACAAGCAAAGAAAGAGAGAGATTTAGCAAAAGTCCAGATTGCATCCACATCAGGTAAAGCACCTTCATTTTGTTGAATAATTTTGCCTACTGTGTTTCACTAAATAAATATGTAACTAAAACTTATTAAAATATTACTTAATCAAATGCATCTAGATCGTTTCCAAATATTGTCTGAACTTCTAATGAAAACATACAGTGAAGGACATGCTGCAGAACCTTTGGCATTCTATTAGAAAGCCTTTTCTTGTATCCAGACAAGCTCTTTGTTGTTGCCTATTAAGTTTGATTTCTTGCCCATCTCCCGCTGAGCACGGAAAACAGATGATTCCATTTATGTGACAACTCCTTTCGTAAGAAAAGATGTACTATGTTGCATCTTAGTATCCTATTTAGATCTTGCCCATTTTTTTACCTATAACTTTTGCCTTGTGACTTTTTTTCAACTTTCTTATTAGAACTCAGTCAGTTTGACTTTAGCTTTCTTAACGAGAGGGGGTCAGAAATTAGACTCTTTCACCTCCAGTATTTGGCATCACAAGTACTAAGAGCTGTAGTATTTGCCTCCATATCTCTTCTCAAAATGCTTGATCCCTAAATGGGAGGAGTATGGTCAATACATCTCTAAGCATATATTCTATATTGTCATCCATGTTGTTACTGAAAATTTATTGGAACGTGATCAAGACTAGATCCCCCTGGGATTCTGTTTTAAATACCTTTCATGGTAAACTGTTAACCATTGAGTGCTTATATATATGAAAGAAAAAAGTTTAGGTTGCACCTAAAATCTTCATTAGGGTCTAGTTTTAAAACTTAACTGCAGTAACGGGATTAGTAAATGTATAAAATGTGCTGAGAAGGATAGTGTTGAATAATTACTTCTTCAATATGTAATTGCAAATAAAACAATACTAAGGACATTTTATTCTTGTAGGTGAGAAGTCTTATGAATTTAAAGTTATGGAAGAATCATACAAACAGGAGATCACTCATTTAAAAAGAAGACTTCAGTGGTATGCAGAAAATCAAGATCTTCTGGATAAAGATGCAGCCCGTCTTAAAGGTGCAAGAGAAGAAATTGAGAAACTGAAACTAGAGGTGATAATACCTAGCTTTATCTAAGAAGTTGAACTGTTAAATTATTTCTTCTAGTGATGAGTATAATGTAATTCTGTCTGTAATCCCTTTTTTTTCTCTGCAAGAAAAACCATGTAAACTCTTTATAAGCTTTAAATCAAATGTGGAGTCTTTACATACAAAATAGATATTACTGTATATGCAGTGAGAATTGCCAGTGCATAAAGCTTAAAACCTGAGTTTGCTGGTGTTGGACACCTTGATGATGCTTCTGGAAACAAAAGTAGTGTGTTTCCTTAAAACTTGCAAATTTCTTGGCTAAGGAAAGGAAGTACGTTGTTACATTAACAACTTGGAACAGCCCTCTTGTCATTCTCTTTTCCTCCTTTTTACTCCATTCAGCATATGGAACAGTTATTTTTTTTCTTAAGTTCCGCTTCTGAATACTTTTTTTTTTTTCCTTAGAAAAATCCTCTGGTTGCCTTAGTAGGGAGAAAGAAGCCAAAACACTCAAAATATAAAGGAAGCAAAACTAATACATGAATCTTGAATAGTTCTGAGATTTGCATTGCCTGCTGGTCAGTAGATTTGACTTAAGATTTATAGAAATAAAGAGTTTTACCAGTGATAAATGATCTTGGAATTGGAGGTGCCTCTGAAGGAGCAGCCAGGGAAGGAGATCCCTTAAACACCACCATATCAAACTTTGGTTAACGTATTATTGCTTTGAAAGACAGTATTTTTATTTGCATTTTCTCCAGGATGGGCTGGTGTTTAAAAACAGTGGAGAGCTTTGACTCCAGAAACAATCAAATTAGTCAAAACTATGCTGGCCTAAAAGCTATGCTAACATTGCCAATGTGAGAGAGAAGTCAAGATAGGAATAATTCCAACTGTACAAGGTGTAATATCCCTGTACAGTGATCGTAGTGGCTGATAAAGGTAGGAAATTCAATTTGAGATTAAAGCTTTGAGTCTTCATGGCCAGACTTTATGGGAACGCAGGAGCATTAGCTATCCAGTTTCTTCCCCTGATCCTGGGAATCAGCATTTACTTAGGCACAACATAACATTGCTTTTTGGCTGTTTCTGTACCATCACAGAGCATAGCTTTGCAAATCACAAACTATTTCCTTAACTCGCCCTGATTTCATGTAATGTACTGTAGTACTTTATGTTACAGCTTATTAACCAAGCCTGCATAGGGAATTATGGTAGAAGCGGATTTACTGATCTGAAGACAAGAACTTCTCAGAGTTGAGGTTCTCTTCTAGATTTCTGTAGCTAGTTTCAGCTCCTTTTGATCTTAAATGGCTTGAAGCTGTAACTTTGGTTTTAAGAACCTGAAGAATGAGTTCATCTTTCATCTTGAGGGTGCTCACATGGCATGTGCAGGTCAACCAGCGACTCAGGCCCAGCCAGCCCGGGTTCATGAAGGGCAGGTCCTGCTTAACTAACCTAATCTCCTTCTATGACAAGGTGACCCACCTAGTCAATGAGGGGAAGGCTGTAGATGTCATTTACCTGGACTTTAGTAAAGCCTTTGACACCATCTCCCACAACATTCTCCTAAGGAGCTGGTGGCTTATGGACTAGACAGCTGTACACTAAGCTGGGT